ACATCAGCAACACCGACTCTTCATCTTTCACAATACAGGGGGTGATTTAACTGGAGGTCCATTGGCCCGTGGCAGTTACATTTTCAAACTAACAGCGGAAGAAACTAACGTAGAGTAAAACCCATAAAAATGGCAAATTTCTACTAGTCCTTAAGATACCTTCACTTTTGTGCAATTTGGCAAGGACTACAGGACTAGTGCCAATCTCTAACACTGAAAGGGCTTGCAGGAACGTAAAGTAGGTGGCCTGCCTGCCTAGTAAATTTTTTTACCACTTCTATGTGTATATTTAAGTTTATAAAATTGGACACAGCTCGTGAGTTGTGTAATTTTGATGAGAAATATTTAGGGGGGATGGTGATGTCATGGTTAACTCAAAGAAATACAAATCAATCATCTCAGAATGACAACCGGCTGCCATTTTGTAATGTTTACAACACCAACTTTATTTGCTCATAAATCGCCATGAAACGAGGCCAATGGAAGCCAAGTGCACAAAAATGCATTTTTAGGGGTGTGGAGTTCAATGTCCTGAGACCCCTAGGTAACTCAGTCAGTTTCAGACGCTTCGGGAACTCATCATTTAGCATTTGTTTAGTAGTGGGCCAGTTAGTTTGATGAAGGGCCAGTAAATTTTAAATGGAGAAAGCCTTGCTGGCTACATAAAAGTGTTCTTAATTCTACCCTGGCAATAGTGTGTCAAGGAATGTTTTTGAAAACTATCAAAGTCAACCATGTAGAAATTGCACTAGTTCCTATATTACACACTATCACAATCTCACAGAATGTCAGTCCCCAGAGTGTAAGTGACGAGCAACAGTGATGTCTTATTGACATGCAAGTTGTAGCTGCAATAGCATGTAATTCATGCCTTTCCTCATGTTCCTCCTGTAAGGAGATTTCTTGACAGATACTTAACAAAGGTACATGTAAACACATAAGTAAACACTTGACTTATGAATAGTATTTAATATATGAACATTGGAATATAATGATACATGCCAAACTGTAGCATCCCCTTGTATGAACTTGTCATTTGGCATCTTTCACTAGAAATAGGTGCAGATTTATGGACTTTTATTAGTAGAGCTGACCCGTGAAGATCCAGGTCAGAATAGGTCTTCAGCAACCCATTCTTGCCATAAAAGGCGACTATGCTTGTCATAAGAGGCGACTAACAGGATCGGGCTCACCCACTTGGTTGATGTAAGTCATCATATCCCAATTGCGTGGATTGATGCTCATGACGTCAATCACTGGATTGTTTGATCCTGATTTGATTATTTACAGACTGCCCTCATATGGTTGGAATATAGGTAAGTGTGACGTTAAACAACAAACAAAAACAAATTAAGTAGAGCTTGAGCAGACAGGCTAGCTAAAATTATTATCCATTTTTGTAATGTATCAAACTCTGGGAAAGTAGAATTTTAAATGGTTAAAACGTGTGACCTAATTACATCTCATTGTGTACAGATAAGTTGCAAGGCCACTAACACAGAACCCGGACAGAACAATTTTGACAAGATAAACCATCTAGTATTTTCCCCATACTTAATGATGCCATCATAACACAAATTGACAAATGTTATCATTTCAAGCCGTGTTCCTTATTAATTGTTCTCCATGATCAGTAGTGAGTGAGTGAGTGAGTTTGGTTTTACGCCGCTTTTAGCAATATTCCAGCAATATCACGGTGGGGGACACCAGAAATGGGCTTCACACATTGTACCCATGTCGGGATTTGAACCCGGGTCTTCGGTGTGACGAGCGAACGCTTTAACCACTAGGCTACCCGACCGCCCCCATGATCAGTAGCATGGATGGACATCGGAAGTGCAGTGCTTAGCCCTAGATGATTGTTATAACTCATAGATGTATGAACAGTGGATGTAGTTGAATCGTGATAATATACTACTCAAAAAAGTTTAGGACCACCCGATTCTTTCATATTACTATAGAAAACTATAGTCAGGTTACCGCTACTGACACCTTGAAACAAACTTTAGTTGACAGAGAATGGATACCTATATCATAAATGCCATACTTTGACTTGTTAAAAGTCATATTTGTTATAGTTTGATGATTCTATGTCCACACGTAGTTCTCGCGATCACGTGCGAGGGAGCCTCGACGCATTCTTGTCAAACTGGTTCCATGTGAAAAATAATAACTGGCAATAGCAATCAGCTGCTTCACTTAGGGTTATAATTATTTTAAATATATTTAGTAAAAGCTGCAACTAAAATAACAAGATATTGGAACATATTATTCCTGATAAAAAAAATAGTTTCAGATAATTTTTTTGCTGATTCTTGCATTAAATTCCTGTAAAGTTATATCATTGGGTGTGTCTTGACCGAATCACCGGTAGATTCCAAGAAAACTTGTGTACAGCTGATTGCTGTTTCCGGCTTAGTTTACACAAGGTAATCTTAATCTGATGATAAGATAATCTTAATCCCTGGATGTAAAACAATGCCTAGCAGAATAAAAAATAAAATTTAAATGATTTTTCTTCTCTCTAATTTCAAATTTGTACTGACCAAGTTTCTCATCACCCATTCGTATACCGGAATTCGCTGAAGGAGTAGGGTGTAATTTTTTTTGGTGCATAATATTCAAATATATTTTTTTCAAAAATACTGAATCCGCTAGAGCATGCTAGAGGAGGGTGTGCATTATACTCGGGAGCGCACTTTACTCAAGAAAATACGATACATCCACTGTTCTTGCATCTATAACAATGAGCCAGGGCTCAGCACTTCACTTTCAATGTCCATCCATGCTTCCTGATCATGGAGAACAATTAATAATTAACACAGCTTCCCTCCACCAGAACATCGTTTCCTTAGACACAAACCAAACATGGTGGACAGCGAAATGTCAACCTGGCCATAAGGTAGCCATTATTCCCCCCACACAAGGGTAACTTTGTGTAATGGTGGTGATATGAGAACATTAAGTATAGAGTGACCCCAACTGCAGACACGGACTGAGAAGGAGCCTAGTTTGATATCGGTGAATATGGAGGAGAACTTGCTTCCCCTAATGATTGAGTATTGATCTCTTATACCACATGGGCTGGAGGCACTCAGTTCAGTAATTTGACAGATGGCCACCATCAAACAGGCGAAACCTTGGAGCTTGTGCCCACCTTCTAATATTTCACTTTCTGCTGACACATCAAATATGCAATCTTTGGACGGACAAAGAAACAGATAAATAGTCATTTAACCCATCTCTTCATAACCATTACAATAACACATAGTAAATGTTGTGTGTCAAAATTAATTTATACCTGACTGCTAGTTAGAATATACAAGGCTGTTGGAGCATTTAGCCCTGTAACAGAGGCCTGGGTTTATAACATGTTTAATATCAACAGTGATCAAGGCATTTTCCTACATAGAATCAAAATAAGTAGCAAGAGACCATCAGGAAAGACTACATTTGATAACAGCTTTTACTTCCCGAATAAACTAAGTCCTGCAACATTATCAGTGATAAAACACTTGAGCAAATATTATTGACACTTCTTCAGTTGGAAAATATTCCTTATGACCTGTATGATTCTAGCCAAGATTATTAGAAATCAATGACTTCGTAGTGGTACACACAGCTTGGACCTAGATTTTACCGAACTGTCAATAAACATCTTCACCTTTTATGCTCAAAGGGCATCAAGACTAGAGAGAGTGAGTTGGCTTTGAACAATATCCCAGTTATATCACGGCATGTCACCTTATGGGAGGAAAAAGCTAGGTGATGCAGGTCTCCGTTGTCTACTGCTTTGGTGAAACCAACAAGCACGGGTATGATGCCGACAAACCTAGAAACATAATCGGAGTGAACCTGATTCAAACCCACGACCATAGGTTTGGGCGTGTCCAAGGGACACAACTCTGTATAGCGAATTGCAGCGCTTTTACCAACTGGGCCACCTGTCCCCTTCTCACAAGATGAACAACCAATCATTTCAAGTTATATGATATCATGAAAAACATAAAGCTTCAGAAACGTATTCACCAAACAAAATAAATATTCAAAAGCCTCGTCATAAATATTCAGCAAGCAATATGTCCCACAGCCATGTACCAATGATGTAGACTACATCTACCAGCCTGTTGCATCAATGGCCCCATGTATCTGTGGAATGGCCCACAGGATGGTACTCAAGTGGAAACTAGTTGAGAGAATCAATACGCAATGACCTGAAACAAACCAAAACCACAAATGCCTCCTGAGAACCACTGCTGCATCTGAATTAGGTCAGAATTATCAAGTACTGTTATTGTCCCTGCAACAACACTACATCGATTACAAAGGAGATAACAGTAGCTGCCATACAAACTGAAATATTTAATTATGGCGAGTATGTTTTTTGGTCACAAGAAATAGGTCAGGAACAAAATATACATTACCTTGACTATGAATTATACAGAGAAAATCAGTGAACACACCAACAACTGCTATTGTCTATCCTGTTCTTTCTAAATTACATTTCAAAATTATTTAATAAAAAGGACAAAAGCTATTGGAGAAATGATTGGCCATCTCCTCAGGTTGATAACATTCATTATTACTTGTGTCTTTGGCATGATAATAACTGGTTAAAATCGAATGATGAAATACCTCAGTCGCAACCTCATAAAACAATTTGACATGTTGTTAACTAAATTGTAGGGGTCGAGACAAAGAATGCACATTCTTTGGATACAAATCTTTCCTGGAACATAAAAACATTCTTACAATGTTCTCTCTACAAGAATGTCATGTTTGTTACCACAAGAATGTTCAAGATGAGTTTTCTGATAATTCCCTTCCACAAGTTCCAGTCATAATAATAACAAATTGATCAGATGTGCCAACATGTGCCAAGTTCTCGACCCACAAAAAGTTACAGACACCATGAAGACACTCAATAAACTTGCAGTGCTCATTGTTCTAACTTCAAAACAAAGAATGCCAGAGATAAGAAGGTTCAATAAGACGTTTACCGATAACTCTCTCATCGTCAGTCTGCTGTGAGCCGATACACTCAAAATTGAAATTCTTCAAATCCTCAGCAAATGTCTTCTGGGCACGAGACAGATCTGGAAGAGAAAAACATTAGGAACATTAATATGACAACTGTATTGGGCGAGTAATTCAATAATGCCACCATTCTCTTGGGACACATTGTGATGGATTGGCTAGCTCCTCACACTCCGGTCCACAGTGACCATTAAAGTTGCCCGGGGTTCATGCTTGGCACCGATCATCGAGAACCTGGAAGTCAATGCTGCTGGTATGGGAACAGTACCATATACATATGGATGTATATAACAAGAACGTGACAGAGTCACATAGACACATCCTGGCATGGAATGTATCCATCAATTCATGAGAGAGGAGTAATTGCTGATTCTGAATGGCGAGTGAGTTGGATCTATATGAACATTAACTTCTGGTACTCATATATATTGGCCAAAATGATGTGCTGCTTACATTTGGTAAATGGTTGAGTGAGTGGTTGAGTGAGCGGTTGAATGAGTGAGTGGTGGAGGGGTTGAATGAGTGGTTGAGTGAGTGGTGAAGTGGTTAAGTGGAGAGGGTGAGGGGTTGGATGAGTGAGTGGTGGAATGAGTGTAGGAGTGAGTGGATGAGTGGTTGAGTGAGTGGTGGAGTGGTTGACTGAGCGGTTGAGTGGAGAGGGTGAGGGATTGGATGAGTGAATGGTTGAATGGTTGAATGAGTGAGTGGATGAGTGGTTGAATGAGTGAATGGATGAGTGGTTGTGCGAGTGGAGTGGTTGAGTGGAGTGATTGAGTGAGTGGTTGAATGAGTGGTTGAATGAGTGGTTGAGTTAGTGAGTTAGTGAGTGAGTGAGTGAGTGAGTGAGTGAGTGAGTGAGTGAGTGGTGTAGGTGTGAGACATGTACCAGTTGAGTGAAACCTTTGAGCACTGGAATGGTTCTGCATAGTGAATGTAGCACTTTCCACAATTGCAATGGCAAAGTGTTAGAATCCACAGAATGCTCTGCTATCAACATAATGGCTTCTAACTACTCCCAGTAAAGAAAACATAGCATCAAATCCAATCAGCATCCTTAAATCAATCAACTATCAACCAAACACAGCTACAATCATGACAATAGGCCTTTATTCCATATTTGATGAATATTGGTGTGTTTTTATCATCAACATTCTCACAGCTGTAGTGGGTGATTTCAATATTACTCCACTTGACAGTATATATTACAGATATGTGTGGGAGGAAAGTCAAAAGTCATAAGGGGTCTTAGACGATTTCCATTTAGTGAAACCCATGAACAGTGAGTGAGTGAGTGAGTGAGTGAGTGAGTGAGTGAGTGTGGATTTACGTTGCTTTTAGCAATATTCCAGCAATATCACGGCGGAAGACACCGTACACATTGTACTCATGTCGGGAATTGAACCCAGGTCTTCGACGTGACAAGCGAACGCTTTCACCACTAGGCTACCCGACCGCCCGACGAACATGCATACGTGTTGACAAACCTAGAAACATAGTCAGGGCGACTTGGGCGACTTGGGGGTTTGAACACCCGACCACACGATCATGGCATGCATATGGACATCCTCCCGAGGCAAGTGAGTTAACTGACTATGAAAGTCCAGTTTCCACCCTTGCCAAACTAGGCTGGTATTATGGAGTTATATTTTGGCTGGACTAACGAGTCTATGCATAGTCCAATCAAAATCGCACACCGAAATCGAAATCCGGTTCATAAAGTGTCATGCAGATTTCGCTCGACTGCAGGATTTGCAAAGCATGTGCACCGCTAACTTGTTGGCAGCAGATATTTTCTAAATCTTTTCATGTTTTTAATCAAGGTGCTCACATGATTTGATGCACTTCGCGATGTAAGACTCGTTTTATCACAATATAGATCTTGATTATCGATCAGATCGTCTTGCCTGGGCGCCACCGTTTTGTTTGAAGCAAATGCAAGTGGTACGAGAGGTGGAATCTGATTGGTCAATAGGAGAGGCATAGAAAGGACATAACTCGTAATAGCCACTGGTGCGCTACGATCGAGCCCAGGAATTCCAGCCTAGTTCGGCAAGGGTGGAAACTGGACTTTTAAAGTCAGTTAACTCTCTTGCCTTGGGAAGATGGCATATGGAAGGCAACTTAGGTTGATCGTCCATCCATGCAGGGAACTGAGCCTGGACCAGACAAACCAGTGTTTAAGTAGTGTGAGGAGAGATCCACACTGTCAACATGGTCAAGTTACTTACAGAACTGAGTACAAGTCACAATCAAAAGTCAGTGTGACCTCCCAACCATAGACTGTCTCTTAATAATCAGTCACATGATCTTTCTGTAAGTCAAACCATAGTCTTAAACTAAAGACCAGCATCTCCACTGTGGCCCAGCTGAGTGTGCACTTGAAGGTGAAATGGTATAAAAAACTTTGTATGACATCAACAAGGAAGTGAGAAACAGATGAGTTGAGGTTCTGGGCACAAACTGTTTGAAATTCTGTGAAATGATCATTTGTCACGTTCTCAAATTCTCAGTCCATCAAAAATGAAACACAGAGCAGAAAAATAACACAAACGTATGTAAATAATAATTGCCATCACACAATTCTGTGAATCTCTGGGACAATCAATGTCTTAGTAATCATGAAATTCATCACATTCTCTTTTTCAGATGCCACCAAAATTCCACGTTCACACTGTCACAATGATTGCCACATGGCTATGCCAGTTATCATGAATGTGATACTGATTATCAGTGAGTGTTTTCCCCAACCCTATTCTATTTTCACATTCAGTCAGCATGACCCATCTCACATAATACTCAACTGCTCCAGGTGTTGTGGCAGACAAGTTTCCTCGCTACCAATATAGAAACATTACATGACACTCTTACAGAAAGAAGCCTTCTACTACTTTTAATAGGGATAATCAGATATGTCATTCTATTTAAGTATACACATGACATATCATAAGAATTATTAGTATATCATGGTAAAATCAAAATACCCCAATTACAATAATAATATTATATTTACTCAGTGCTACAATTCAGACACATTTATTTCTTATAGTTGAGGAATTTACACATAAAACATCAAAATATGTTTGCAAGTACTGTCAATACATCACAGTGTTTGAAAATAAGAATAAAAGTCCTAAGCATGCTAAGTTAACCCTTATCTTAAAAATAGTAGTTTAACTTGTGATTCTTTCACATGTATAGTTAATACTGCATATGTACCGGTAATATTGCTAGTCCATCCTTTTCGACAGACCCACCCTGATTTAACTGGGTGGCTGGATTCAAACACCCCAGCAGAACACCTCAACATGCTCCTAGACCCATGGGGCCAGTCGGGTAGCCTAGTGGTTAAAGTGTTCACCCGTCACGCCGAATACCTGGGATCGATTCCCGACATGGGTACAATGTGTGAAGCCCAATTTTCTGGTGTCCACCGCCATGATATTGCTTAAAGTGGCGTAAAACCATACTCACTCAGTAACTCCTAGACCCAAGACTCTTCTAACTTACTTCCCTGCAGTTGGAACCAAGCAAACCTCTGTTGTTGACTACCAGATACTATTGTTTTAATTTCAGGTATTTTGGAGGTCATCACAAGGTTGCAAAGTCTAATCTTTCTAGTGACATGTGCTCATTAACCTAAGAATGGTCAATCATGAAAACTGAGAAAAAAAATCAAGAAATTGACCCCAGAAATTCCTATCCATCAGTAAACTTTAGTTTTCTGTCAGCACACAGAAGCTGCCAGTTGCCCTCTACACCAGCAGCGCGTACACCCATTAGGCCCTTCGACAAGTGCACTAGTGTCCATGTACAAGCCTGCTGTTACTTCACAGTGCTGTTGTACAGTCAACATTACATCACCAGGTGATCAGGCAATTATGAAAGGCGAAAACAACATAAAAGAAACCGCCATAAAGGCAACTGCCAGATGTTACATAAGACATTATACTGCTAGCTATATATACATACATAGTTCTCCTGTATTAGGTCATGAATGCATCAGCCAGTTCTCCTGTATTAGGTCATGAATGCATCGTCCAGTTCTCCTGTATTAGGTCATGAATGCATCCGCCAGTTCTCCTGTATTCATGGTATTAGGTCATGAATGCATCGGCCAGTTCTCCTGTATTAGGTCTGAATGCATCTGTTTGGTTGGTTTCATGCAAAGGATTAAAGTCAAAACTGTTAAATATCTGTCAAATAGATCAAAACTATTTGATATTACTACCGCGACTACTGGTTCTTGAGCATCAGTAGTATTCAAAAAGCCACCTGGATGTTTTTGAACCTGTTGAGTGAGACCAGATGAAGAGAGGTGAGGTGAAATGGGGTTTAACGTGGCGTTCAAGCTTATTGCACTCATATAGCACTCATATAACGATGTGCCTGCATGGCTGCTTGTACTATTCCAGACCATTGCCGGTTTTATAGTGCCAGCCCACTCATATACCATGCCACAGTTTAACATCAATACCCCACTCAGACATGGTATACTGAGCTGACTAGTGACTGGTCCTTATTTTGTTCCCTTCATGCTGAGCATTAGGTAGGATAAGAACAAGCACCATCTCTTAACCTTTGTATGATGCGGCCAGGAATCAACCCAGCGACCTTCCGCTCTCCGGGCTGACGCTCTATCCAGTAAACCATGTAGTCAGTCCCAGATACAAAGAAGCTTCAGGTACTACCAACAGGCATATCCAAAATGAATTCCAAGTCCAAAATGAATTCCAAGTCCAAAATGAGGTGCAGACAAGCTGGAAAGTCATTCAAAATCTAGTTGTTTTCTTCTCAATCTAGTAATCTTCCATAAACCATGAGCCTACAGTGAGCTGTGAACAAGTTGGATATGTCCAATGATGTCAATCACTGCCTCTAGATTTTCACTAGTCTTGGAATAATGTATGAGTGGCCATAGCTAACCCTTAATAAAGTATTTCAATGACGATATGCTTCTACTGTCAAGGTCATAGGTCTGAAGAGCCATTTTCTGCTGGCCGAAATGTTCCGCTCATCAAAGTTTTATCGTACTGTTGGATGTAAAGAAAAATGTCAAGTG